TGTTTTTAAAAAATTAGTGAGAGAATATTTCTGAATTTGTCGATAAACATAGCAGTGTTTTGATTTGGTGGTCTGTACACGCAACTGACAATAATGTTTTTACCGTGGGGAACGATAATTTCTAAGAACAGTGATTCAATTAAATCTGGATCTGAAATTTAACATTCTTCGAGAAGTTTGAATTCAAGGCCGTTCTGTAAATAAATTCCAACTCTACCGCCTGTTTTCGATTTACGATGGTTGGAGACAAAATTGTATCCTGTGATGTTTACAAGCTTTGCAGTGCAATCAGTTAGCCAAGTTTCTGACACACCAATCACAGAGAACGGCGTATCAAGGTTTCTTAGCAATAAATTAAGTTGATCGAAATCTCTCATTAAGCTTCGAGTGTTTAAATGTAAAATAGAAAAGTTTGTTTTGTCGCCAAAAGAAGCTACTCGATTGTTCAGATCTTCCTTAACCATGTAGCCACTATTGGGCAGGCGACTGATAAAGTTAGAGTCGGGATTCAGATGACTAGAAATCGGATGAAATAGTTCGGGCCTTTCGACAGGATTAAATAATAACGTTTCAAGACGGTCGGCATCGTAACTTAGAAGACCATGAGAAAATTCATAGATCGCTAAATTAAAGGAACTATCATCCAAGTGATTAAAAGGGAGGAGAGATTGAAGGGGTGTCTCGTCAGCCACCATAGAAGTAGCAAATTAAATTACAAATAAGATTACTCAAGGTTCAGAATTCAGATTACTTAGCTTAAAGGTAGGTTCTCTTGCCGAGCAAATCTTTCAAGGTCGTCAAGGGTTTTGAGCTTGATAGGGCGAGAGTCTTCGGTTTGCCGTAAATAGATGATGACGTTCTTGCACCAACAAAACTTGAAGCCATTACGAGTTTGAAATTTTTTCGTATCGGCGAGGAGCTGTTGTACTTGCTCAGTTAGATGATCAAAAAGCTTTACGTTCTCTAGTGTGCAATCGGCAGGTAAGCCAGTCGAAGAGGCTGTAACCTTGTATGCATCTTTCCGTACATTCATGACCTTCTCGTTAGCAATCCTTCTTGTGAACTTGCAAACGACTGGACTCGGTCCAGGAGTGGCGTTTCTGGTGGGAATACGATGAGCGATATCGATATCCTGAATCAAAATCTCAACTCCTGCTGCTTGAAAGAGGCTAAGACATAATGTAGTTGTGTCGGAGGCTGACTCACTCGCTTTTATTTCAGGGAGACCGACGATCTTAACGTTGTACTGATAGCTGTAGCGTTGGATAAGCTCGATGGATTTCCCAATTTCTTCCACTCGTTTACATAAGACATTCAGGAGTGACCAGAGTTGTTGTAATAACGGTTTCATACTGCGCGTAACCTCATAAAACGCTGGTGCATAAAATTGTAGGGTGTTCAGTGTCTCGTCCTGAGATATCGCCGGTCGACTCGCTTCGCCGCCATTACTGGAGACGTTAGCATCGTTGACACTTGGTTTGAGCGAGTTTTGAAAGTCTTCAAAAGTTTTCTCTAGGAAAGTAATTTCAGATTTGAGGCTGTCATTTTCTTTTTTAAGCGAATTAACAGACGAATTAGGCATAAGTCCTTAACCGCCGACAAAGGCAGCACCTTGTGAAACCCAGTCGCAACAAAAAGGAATTTATATCGATGCATGTTTCTTAGAAAAACGACCCTTTACGTGAGCTCTGCTCGAGAAAGATGTCCCAAAGGGAAGCAAATGCTAGAACAAAACACGACAGATGATTTGGAACAATTTGGCCACAAACTGTGGCAGTTTTATTAAATCAATTATACCAAAGTGATAACAAATATTTTCTTGCGCACTTGACGTTCGAATGGCGAGGGATAGAAGGACGAATTAAGAAAGTGTTCCTGGCTTTCGCGTAGAAAACTCCGCCCTAAATTCTTATGGGTTAACGTTCGTACCTGGTACAAACCTCCCAACGGGTTATCAAATGAACATGCCCCGACATAAAAAGTCATTATGTCTAGACATAATGTTTGTCTATTCGTATGATCCGCGCTAAACTGCTATCACAAAGTGAAAATTTTGAACAACTCATTTCCGTGCATTGCGGTAAATGTAACAGGGATTTTATCACAATAATTCTCAAAAACTTTGGTTTTTTTTTTTCGTTCAAAGTTGAGCGGAGGTCTCTCAAAGGCCTTTAAAAGGTCTTACAAAGGCCTTACAAGGAAAGTAGAATAGATATTGAATGAAAGTTAAAACCGATTTAAATTTGAATCCTGACCACGCTTTCAACAAGCTTTCAACATTTTTCTAGGTTTTCAACAATGTTGGACGACCATTTCATACGCACCGAGCATTTATTTCAAACAAGTGTTGAATCCAATGTTGAAACCGTTTAAGCGGGCCTTAAGAGACTTTCTCGCAGTAAACAGACAATTAAAGTAATAACAGAGGGGATATGATTTCCCAGGTTATCGTTTAAAGTTGATTTATCTAATCGGAACTACGAAGACTGTATAACGACGATGTTAAATCATTATGTCTAATAGGGTGGTTTTTCAAACAGCAGAAATTAAAAATACCATCAAAAAGGTTTTTGCCTTCCACAGGCTTTCTGTTGTTAACACAGCAGAAGGAAATATTTTGCTGTTCAATTTACTGTGAAAAAGGTTGTTTTTTTTCCTTTTCGCCTTTCACGCAATTACTAAACTCATTGTGCAGACCTGGAAAAAATGGGAAATCATCATTAAAGAAACGACTAAATAAGTTGCGGATAATGGTTTGTTCTGTTATTGTGTTCCGATATTGATAATCGTACTTGTAGAACTCTTTCACAAGATGTTAGCAATCTTTCCTTTTCCTGCAATAGGTTCAAGATTGTGGACGTGTAAAAGCTGAATAAGCTGGGTCTTGACCAAGTTTCAACCTGAGGTTGATAACCCTCTTGATATTTCTACTTGGTTGGGCCAGAAGGAATTCAAGTATTTTGTAAAATATGAGTGGACACTAAGAAATATTATTTTAAGGTATGTTTATAAGAATGCTTTTAGCAGGAAACCAGTGACAGAATCCATTAGGGTGAATCTACCCAAATTGTTTACGTTCTGAAAAAATAAAACAATAACAACTACAACAATTGCAAAAATTGTTTTATCAGTCACTCTTGAGTGAAACGAGAACAAATCATTTGAATAACATTAGAATTTTATCCAAGAATGGTGTGAAGTTTCCGCATCAACGATGTCTATTGTGTCTTTGGCCTTAGTTCATTGCCAAATATTGAATGAGTTTGGGCACTTTGCGATTGACTGTCGTAAAACCAGAGCTAAAGTAATCAAATCAAACTAACCAAAGATAAGGAAAATACCCTGGTCTCTTAATGAAGTATATAATGAGGTTTAACTGCTACCAGTCATTAAGAGTAATAGAATATTCCACGAAATTACCTTTCTTAAATGTTTCCCAACTCGTCTCGTTTTGCTTTAATCCCATATAAATTTTCACAGTAAACTCTTGAAAGTTTTACCACTTTAGACAGACAGCTAGTATAATGAGAGAAAGGAAATGATTCCGTGATTACATTTTCCATTCAAAGTGTCGGCGAATCTAATAAACTAAACTAAACTAAACTGACTGAGACAAGGAAGGAGATATGACAACGACCGGAGGCCAACAAAGTTTTGAAATAGGTGGCTCGGGCAAACGGCAAACGATAAAAAAAAACATGTTTTTTATCTCTACCGCCTTCCATGCGAGGAGATAGACTTTCATATACCATAGATACAAAAGAAATTTTCCATTTTTCTTTTCTTCTTTTCAGTCATTGATTTTACCCACCAGATCAGCGAACAACTAATAGAAGATTAGGACAAAAGAATCAATTAAACCAGTGCTATATAATGGCTCTCGTGTTAAATTGCTTCGAATGCAATCAAGCCTTATTCAAATTTTAAAAGGAAATTTTAGGAATCTCTTCCTTTTTCACTGAAAGTTTCACGATTACGGCTTTAGTATACATAAAGCCACCACAAACTCAAAAGGTCTTCACCAGTTTTTAACTTGAGTTTCAGCGATTTACTGAACGAAGAAATCGTGAGTATTTTATAACATTTGAGCGTTCTGCCTTTAACTTTATAATACGTTTATCAAAGATACAATAGAGAGAGACTATAGAAATAGTCCATATGCGCTATCAACCCTAAGATTGTAAGTTTTTATTGGGAAAAGCGAGGACGAGTGTTGGTTCAAAAAAAAAATTAGATAACTAACCGTCGAGTTGTTTTCCCCCGAGGCTGAAGGCTGAGCATTGCAATCCAAGGGCTTCAATTATTCAATAACGAAGGTTTTAAAACGAGGGGAAAGATAACATTTGTCTCGCCGGAATTTTCAAGGTTTTTTTAATATCCTCAATCAAATCCATTCCAAATTTCATTAAAGCCTTTATCGGATTAACCACATAATATTTTAATTGAATTCAAACTCTCGTTTGGCTATATTTTTCATGTTTACTGCAACTCAAACAACAGTCCAAAATGTCGGAAACAACTTCTCAAGATCCCGGCCTCAGTCGCTCGAGAGCAGAAATCACTTTGAAAGTAACTTCCGCCATTCTGCTTTGCCTCGCTGCCTTACTCGGTAATGTGCTGGTTGTTTATGTTATCAATAAATACTCCGAGATGCAAACCATCACCAACATTTTCATCCAAAATCTTGCGCTGACTGATATCCTCATGGCGACCCTTACTATGCCACTCTGGGTAGCAAGCTTATACACGGGGACGTGGAATATGAGCCATGAATGGTGTGAGGTTACCGCAATAGTACAGGTTACCATGGCTTTTGCCTCCGTGTTAAATATGGGCTTGATTGCCTTGAACAGATACATAAAAGTCGTCAGGCGAGCCTTGTACAGTAAGTTCTTCCCCAGCAAAAGAGTCGCTTGGTTGTACTGTGGTGTCGTCTGGTTGCTTTCTGTCATATTGGCCACACCTCCGTTATATGGATGGGGGAAACTGGAGTTCGACTCAGATTTCTTTGCTTGCACCTTCGACTGGAAGGAAGGACACTTTTCTTACGTCCTAGTAATCATGGGCGGGTTCTTTAACGTGTTAACATCTGTGATATTTTACTGCTATTGGAAAATTTACCGAAAAGTGAAAGAAAGCGTAGATAATGTCAACGCCAGTCTCGCGTTAAATGGCGTCGGTGCTCCAACGCCTCGTCATGCCGACATTAAAGTCTTGAAGAGTTGTTTCACGGTGGTTTGTGTCTTTTTATTCACCTGGGCTTTTCCAAGCATAACCACAATTTTAACAGCTGCTGGAGATTACGCTCCCCCTGAAGCGTCTAAGGTAGCTCCGTATTTCGTTTACTCTAGTTGTCTGGTAAATCCAATCATCTATGGGATTATGAATCCGCAGTTTAAAGATGTCTTTAAAAAGGTCTTCAGATGTGGTTCTTATGGTAACGATAATTCAGATCAGAGTCATGCAAGATCATTCAATTTAGATCAGAGTCGTGTAGCGGTTATCATACATCCTAGGAGCAATGAAACTCGTTGACAATGGATAAGAAGATTACTAAGTACTGTACAACCGAAGAGCAATGAACTTAGGATAATGGCAGATTGACAATCCCACTAACTCTTTCACATTTAAATGATAACAAATTATATATATATATATATATAATTTGGTCTTCAACATCAATGCATTCTCCCGCCAAAAAGGCCACGAGGCCATAAAAACCTAATTCAAATTTATACATTAAAACTCCCTTGGCTAATTAAAAATAAACGCATTACAGCTGGAGGGGAAAATTTCGAGTCGTGTAATCGTTTAACCGACAATAGCAATGACATGCATCGTTCCTCTAAAAATTTTGACTTTTACCTATTTTCTGATGATACCAATATATTATATGCAGAAAAAGATCGAAACAAACTTGAAGTTGTCGTCAACGAAGAGTTATTAAAGTTGTGTGAATGGCTGAATTCAAATAGATTATCTCTTAACGTATCTAAATCTAATTTCGTTAGTTTTCATCCTTATCAACACAAACTATACCGAGAAGTAAACCTTAAAATACTTGATAATAACTTGGAGCAATTGGTATCTCTTGAACGTAAGACATATGTTAAATACCTAGGTGTTCTAGTTGACGGTAATCTCTCCTGGATGCATCATATTAACTACATTTCCACGAAAATAAACAAAGGTATCGGTATTATTGCATGGCTAAGACACTTGGTTCCGCTCACTACTCTTATAAACATTTACCGCTCGCTCATTGAACCGTATATTTCCTATGGTCTCGTTGCTTGGGGCCAAGCCGCGAATACTCATCTAAAGAAAATCGTCATTTTACAAAAGCGGGTTCTTCGTCTAATGTACTTTTCCGATTATACATCTCACAGTGCTCCTCTTTTTAGTCGTTCGGGAATTCTACCGATAAAAATGCTTTACTTCAAATTGGTTGCCTCTCTGTTACATGACATCAAAAATCGCTGTGCCCCTCCCAAAATTTCTGAATTTTTTAATCACTCTGAACAGGTTCATTCCAACTCTACTCGTTTCTCAGTGGCTGGAAGCTTTTATATTTAACAGGCGAGAACAAATCATCAGTTGTTTTCCTTTTCTAGAGTTGGTGCGAAAATATGGAATGGCATCCCCCCTGAAATTCGTAAGCTAAGGAAAGCACCTTTTAAACGTGAGCTAACTCACTTGCTTTTGAAAATTCTTGAAATTGAGGAGATGAATGTTGACTTGCGCTACCTTGACCTTTCTAGCTTATATTTGTATTTCAACTGATTAGCTTTCTCTTTGACCTGTTAAAAACTCTCTGGTGTGAATGGCCCAGTTAAAGCCTTTAACATGATTATCACTACTATTATTCATTATTTATTTTTATTTGCTCATTTATTTATTTATTTCATTGTTGCGTGTATGTGTGTGCGCGTGTGTGAGTGTGTGTGTGTATGAGTGAGAGCCTATACAGTGTCTGTTTAGATAGCCCGCCTAGAACAGCTTTGCTAACTGCGGGCTACAAAAGCATTTATTTCTTTAATTTAAAAAAAATAATAATAATAATAAATAAAGTCAATAATAAAATAAAGTCAATAGGAGCTACCTGTTGCTAATATTCAGACCATGATAATTTTTGCGAGCATCTTGCTCCGTAAATTAAATTTTCATGACTTATCAATTAAGCATTTATGAAGTTTTATAATTTTAGAGGTAAATATATGTCATCAAGTCATTTGCGCTCAGTGAGTTCATCTGCATGTGTAAATAAAGAGGCTTCTTTGCATTGCGAGTTCTTGAAAGTTTTGCATTAAGAGTAATAAGTCACATTCTTGTTATGGCAACGTTTGCAGATACTGTATTATACTAAACTAGGACTAATTTGCTTTTATCGCTTTTTTCAAGCAAGTTTCGACTTCAGCTATTATTTGTCTTACTTAATGTGTACAATCGCTAACAATTTGTGGTCAACACCCAATTATTTCTGTCACTGAAAAAGAGCTCCTACTTGAGTATGCATCAACATAGTAATAGGGAGAAATCTGATGGAGGTTATGAAGCCAGGGAGACAGGTACAGTTGGCTTAGTCCTGTAAAACTTCTTGTTCAACAATTTCTTCCTCAAGGCAGGGGAGCAGGGTTGGTGTAGTGGTGAGAGCGCTCGCCTTCCACCAATGTGTCCCGGGTTCGATTCCCGGACCCGACGTCATATGTGGATTGAGTTTGTTGGTTCTCTACTCTGCTCCGAGAGGTTTTTCCCCGGGTACTGCGGTTTTCCCCTCTCCTCAAAAACCACCATTATTTGAATTTATTTAGTTTAAGTTTATTTGTTGCTCGGAGATATTAGCACTTGCGTGCTACCTTGAAATTCGAGGATAAATAAAGTTGTTATGATTATTATTATATGAAGGCGAGTGTACCACACCGCGTTAATGATGATTGTAAAGGGTGACTCTTAATTAAATACAAACGCTAGATTAGCCCATGTCAATAGAGTAGTTGATTGAAAAAACACTTGGCTTTTGGTAGCAGTACAAAACTTGGCTACTAGAGTAGCTCAACAGCCAAGATTCTCTTGAGGCATTGAACTTCTTTCAAAATCTTTCCAGCTTGATAATAATTATAATAATTTGAGCTACAATGTCAAAAATAATTTACAAACAGTTTTTCTAAAGCCTAGGATGGCAAAAAAAAAAAAAAAAAATCATCCATTTGCGTTCTGTATTTTTAGCGCTCGACCTTTTGCATTGTCCGCTGCCTTAATTACTGTATTCAAAATAAGAACAAACATGACGAGAAAACAAAAAGCGTATGAAGATCTGGTGTAATTTCTGCAGTTCTAAAGTAACTAACGCCTGTACGTTTTTCATGAGTGGACGAAAATCGTCTGCACTGGAAGTACATATCAAACTTCCTAGGCGATTGAATCCCATTAAATATGTAGTTTTTATGTTATGGTTTCTGTTTTTTCTTTGTTTAGTTTGACCCTTATTTCCAATTTCCTATTGGTTACCTTTTTTTCTTCTTTTCGTTGCGCAAAGGCTCTCGCGCTAGTTTGCGTTTGTAATCGCTCTGATAAGGATTGCATTTTCGCTGGCACAGTACTACAAGGCTTTTCACTGTCGTTATAGGTCTAGCGATCCAGTTTAGAGGTTTTACTGCGTGAGCTAGATATGTAAGTACACGGTCCTTTGGTTGATTGTTATTTTCAACCGTTTCATTTCGTCTTTAAGGGATCAATTCAGGTTAAGTTAGTTTAATAAACCTTCAGGTTAGGTTTATTTTGTTGTTTACGTGTTGTCTTTTATAGGAACATGCATTTTCTTTCTCATGTCGTTATTTGTTAGTTCTACCCATAGGCGTACGGGCCGGGAGGGGGAGGGGAGGGGAGCTACAGCCCAAATTTTGGGCGACTCAGATTCTTTGGGCAGCACGAGAAATTTGGGAAAAGCTACTATTTAAAGAAGCTTGAGTGTGTCTGTGCATTTTCTTTTCCAAGAGCTATTTTCTGTTTCAACCCGAAGTCAGCGTTGTAAATAGGCTCGATTTCCACCGTCTCCCAGGTCCGGTCTTTGATCCTCCTCTTCGGGGGAATGAGTGCGGGCTCATTTCCCCGAACACAGGCTGGTAATCGAGCCTACGTTGTAAAGCCAATTCAATTCACACGAGACAGTGGTTGTCAAGCACGGGATCACTTTCTGGTTATTTTTGAAGGGGATCTTATGTTGATATACATATTTGTAATTTTGCTGTTGGGCACTGTGCTGCACTGCACTAGTTAGTGTGGGGAATTTCCAGTCGCGAATTAATTAGAGTCAACTTCGGTACAACTTTCTAGAATCATATTGTAGATTATCCACTGGAGACTCTCAAAAGATCTAAGTCACGTGCTCGGCAACCACTGTCTCGTGTGAATTTTAACTGACTTTACCACGTCCTTTATGGCGTAAAGCCAGCGAAATTCACGCCTGTAGTTTTTCAAAAATTTACACGTCAGTGAAAACAAATACGCACCTTACGTAAGTTTTTTTGTGTAAAAATCGCCTTATGCCATATTAGACATGTCGAATCCAGCCCCACAAAAACGTAAGCGGGCCTATCGCCATCGCGTTACCTGTTCCGAATGTAAAAGACATGGTTGCTAAGTACCAGGACGCTTATGCAAGAACCAAGCATATAGACAATAGAGTTAAATTAACTGTTTCTCGTGCGCCAAATCAATCACAACTAGGTCTCACTGGTGGCAATGAAACAATAAATATCCTTAAATACAGTAAAATCGACGCCGAAGACGTTGGCTCAGATCTTCAGAATGACAACAGTACAGATAGAGAGGATTTATTAGATACTGCTCCAGATAAGTCACAAATTGAGATGATTCAAGTAAATAATGGTATTCGGCGTGCTCCGGCTACGTCACAACTTATGGATGTCGGTGTGACAGATAAGTCAGAAATCATGGATAAAGGTAATTCGTATAAGTCAGAGATAATGGCTATGGAAAACATATATAATCGTGCTGATAATGGTGCTAGTGCTCCGGATACATCAGAAATCGTAGACAATGGCGCTAACTCTGAAATCGTGCATAGTGCTGATTGGGATATGTCCATTTCAGTTTTCTTAGATAACGGTGTTCTGGAATAGTAACAGAAGTCAGTTATCATGGATAGTGGTGCCCCAGATAAGTCAGATATCGTAGATGGTGCGCACAATTCTTCCTTGGATACAAATGTATATAGTGGTACTTGCCAAAAGTCCGGTGATATAGACGAGGGCCCTCAGCAACCTATCTTGAGGTGCTACGACCCAAAAAATTCGGCAGTGAATCTTTTTCTAGAGATTTCAATCCAGCCTGGTACAAACGTTATCCATGGCTGAGCTACAACGTTTATATAAACTAAAACAAATACAGCGTGCTGCTACCCATGCCAGAAATACTTAAATGCCCACGATTTCACGTTTGACAATTGGAAGAAGATAGAGCGTCTCACTAAACACCACAAGAGTGAGAACCATCAAACGGCCACGGCGAAATGGATTGATAGCAGAGCAAATAAAAAGAAAAGTACTTCAATACTGAGCAAACTTCATGAATCACACAAACAATATGTGAAGGAAAATCGCGACTACTTGAAAGTTATCATTGAATGTCTCATGTTCACGGCCCAACAGAACATCGCCCAACGGGGCCACGAGGAACAACGTGACAGTTTGAGTAATAGCAGTTATTTAAATGGAGGTAATTTTCTGGAATTAATTCACTTGCGGTGCAGGGACATAGCTTCGCTGAAGGATAAACTTGAAAGCCAGCTTCAGAAGCATGCACAGTGGACATCTCCCGTGATACAAAACGATTTTCTACAAATTATCGCCGACCTCATTCGCGAGCGTATCAGAAACGATGTGCGAACCAGCGAATGGTATGGTATCATCTTGGACGAGACATCAGACATTAGCAGAAGAGAACAAGTTTCACTTTGCCTTAGTTTTGCACTGAATGGAACGAAGAAAGAAGCATTCATTGGTTTCTACTCCACAATATCAACCGAAGGCGAAGTACTGTATGAACTGGTGAAATCTGCTATCACTGAACTCAGTCTTGATCTCAAGAACATTGTTGGTAAAGTATTCGATGGGGCGGCTAATATGAACGGTGTACACAAGGGACTCTCGACAAGAATGGAAGAATGCTCTCCGCCCGTTATCTACGTCCACTGTTACGGACATATGCTTAACCTCGCCCTTCAGGATACTATGACACAGATTGAACCATTGCGAAACGCTCTGGGAACTATTCAGGCTCTGTAAAACTCTTTAGAAGCGAGTCCCAAACGACACGCTTTGTTTAGTGACACAGAATTACAAGGTGAGGATCTAAAACTGACGCTGAAGTCATTAAGTACCACGCGGTGGTCATGCCGGTGGGAAACCACAAAGGCCGCACACGGGCAAATGGAACGGATTGTAAAAGCCCAGCTCACACTGTCTTCAGACAAAGATCCAAAAACGTACTCTGAGAGCAGAACCTTATTGAACACCATTTGCGACTTGGAGTTTGTCTTTAGACTGTGTGTACTGAAAGTAATCCTGAGCAACACTAATAGTCTGTGCCGATATCTTGAGGGGATGACGGTCGACGTCATATCCGCTCGTAGAAATGCCGACTTCACCAATCAGATCCTACGCCAGTGTCGGAGTCAAGAAAGTTTCAAAAGCGTATGGCAGTTAACATCAGCAATGGGTCTGAAAATGAAGAATTGGCTGACAAATTCTCAGTTTGAATTACAAGAAACCAGGGCACCCAGACAAACGCCGTCCCGCTGCCTTCAAGCCCTTGTAGGTGAACACGCGCAAAGACAAACGTAGACACCGGAATCGCACCGTCGTATAAACACTTACTATGCGTCCATCGACAAGGTGCTGTCCGAGCTTGAGCTTTAGCGGAAATGACCAGGAAATACTCTGTGATTTGAGAAATATCTGTCAGAGTGAAACACCAGATAAATAAAGCTTCTCCCGAGTTGCTAAATTTTACAAAATCGACAGGGAGATTCTGGAAGTCGAGCAGAAAATTTACGCGATTTTCCGTCGTGTACGTGGATTAGGCTACATGACTGTTTCAGAAATGTTGCAGACAATTCAGGAGAATGATCTATTTGATATGTTCCCAGAGTTTTCTAGTGTGGTACATATCCTTGCAGTGATACCTGCTACATCATGTTCTGCAGAACGATCATTCAGTGGGTTGCGCAGATTGAAAACTTACCTCCGCAGCAACATGGGGCAACAACGTGTTAGAAACATCACACTTATTAACACTGAAAGGGAATATGCCAACTCTGTAGTCGAGAGAGACATGGATCGTATCATTGATATATTTGGCCGTCGAAATGGCAG